AAACAATATATTCCCTCCACTGGTCTATGGGTCGTGCAACCCCCTGTTCAAGTCATGAGCAAAGGCAGGTGCACGCTTCATACAAACAGCCCCTGCGCTTTTTAGAAACAGGCCACCAGTTCATTGAGCTTAGGGCGTTAGGCTGTCCATTTCGTACTAGTCTCTGCACTGATTTCTTTTAGAAATTGTAGTTTTGTGCCTCACACATTTGCAAAGGAACTGATACTATTTTAGGACAGGTCTACAGTCAATGGGAATGCTTCTCCTTCCGTGCTGGGAGTGTATGGCATGATGTTAGTAAAGCACTCGCTCACTTCACCTAATCTGCTGTGCTGGAGGGCTCCTGGTTCACAATGGTGGAGAAGGAGAAGTCCCTAGGTGCTCTTGGATCCTTGGTGATGAAATACATCAAGTGTAAATCTTCCTCTACAGATCACAAGGTAGAAAAACTTAATATTGGATACCTCAAGAGTGGCTTACGGGGTGGAGTGGTAGCTCTGTGGCTAAGGATCTGTGCCTGTGGCTGGAAGGTTGCTGGTTCAAATCCTGCAGCTGGCAGAGGAATCCCCTAAGCAAGGCCCTTAAACCCAGCTGCTCCAGGGGTGCTGTACAATGGCTGACCCTGCGCTCTGACCCCAAGCTTCTCTCCCTGCCTGTGTGTCTCATGGAGAGCAAGCTGAAGTATGTGTAAAGATGAATTCCTAATGCAAGAAATTTAATATGGCCAAGAAAGTGATCCTATCACACTCTCATTGAGAAGTAAATGAATTGTGCACAAAGTTTTACTTACTCAGGACATGAGCTGGACTGTTTTTCTGTCCCAAAGTGACAACAAGAAAGCACGCAGTATCGGCTGTCAGTGCTTTGTGTATAGGAGGCTGTGCTTTTGTCGAATCAATGTGGACGCACAGTCATGGCAACACAATTCACACCGTCTTTGGCGTGCATGCCTCCACTACAATTACCGAAGCTGTGCAAATTGTCGCAAGAACAATCATCACAAGCGTGTCCACGAGATAACAACGATGTCTCGGGAATATACCACTGTGCGACATTCTGTAGTGTTAGCCCGAAGGGAGGAGACCTGGCTCAGACAACGCAGTTAGTTTCGGTGATAACAGGGTGAAATGGCGCTGGGAACACAATGCAGGTGACCGAATGCCAGAGCATTAAATCCCAAGCTGTGAGAGGTGAGCTTGAACAAAGAGGCTGAAGAAACATGCAGCTATGACAGCTCTAGCCAGGGCTCTTCACAATGAGTTTCATTACCGGGCAGAAAACAGCCGGTGTATAATTCCAGCAGACTCGAGCCGAGCTGTGTCGATTCTCGTGTGTCCCATTGAGCTCAAAGCTAAAAAATCCTGTTTCAAATGGACGTTTTTGAGCAAGACTGTGTGTAGCGCTTGAGGATGGCAAAAGAAGGTTTGGGAATCATGATTGCAATAAATATTCAGAAACACCAGTAAGCAATTAACACTATATTCTAATCTCATTGGGATAGCTGGTAGATCAACCCCAAATATGAATTTAGCCAAAACAAATTACAAAAAAATATTGATGTAATAGAGTTTTACATGCTAGATTAAAACGCCATGAAAACGTTAGAAAAATGACAAAAGCCAACACCCAATCCGAAGGGATCATCTTAATACAGCAGTAAGAGCAGACAACCTTGTCTAACGTTGGACTAATTCATATCTGTTAACATCTGCACCTGATTAATAATTTGTGCCCCTCCAAGTGCTGGCTGCCCTGGATCACACACCGACACTGCTCTTTGCTTCTCCCACCAAATTGTCTCCCAGCTGTCCTGACAGTTTTAATCAGGTCGGTACGTTACGGGGGATAAAAAGTGATAAGTCCGTTTGAAATGGGTCTGTTTTTTAAGGAAATGCATGCTGGCTATGCTGTGATGGAGTCCCATGAGTCATGTAAGAGCTTTTTTCTTTGCCTCGAGGTGAAAAGGCTGCTGTAAATAGTTCTGCTTGAAGAACACACACAGTGGCTGACATCAGCTTCAGGCCCGACCTGCTGGGAGTTGGGTGTCTGTCAAAGGGCAGGCGTGCTGGCCTGTGCCCCTGGTTGTGTGCAAGGTCGGGGGGGGAGCAGGGCATGGTGTTTATTGAGTCTGTGGGGTTCGTTTTTTTTTTTGCAGATCTCTACACTCATTCCCAGAAAACCACGCTTATGATTTCTGGACGGATATGGAACAGGCGATCAGTGTGTCTTTCTGGCCCGCCAAGCCGAAAACCACAGGCCAGTTGCTAGCGGAAGACCTCCTCCTCCTGACTCAGCTGGAGCCCAGTACTCTCTCCTCCAGCTGGGAGAAAGTATCCCAGAGCTTTCCAGAAAATTCATCCTACCCTCTCCCCTCCTCCCGGCAGCCGGCAAACTGCTATGCCATTTCTAATTAGTAATAATAATTGCTTACTCTTATATAGCGCTTTTCTGGACACTCCACTCAAAGCGCTTTACAGGTAATGGGGATCCCCTCCACCACCTCCAGTGTGCAGCCCCACCTGGATGATGCACCAGTACACTCCCCACACACCAGCTCTCAGTGGGGAGGAGAGCAGAGTGCACCAGTACACTCCCCACACACCAGCTCTCAGTGGGGAGGAGAGCAGAGTGATGAAGCCAGTTCAGAGATGGGGATTATTAGGAGGCCATGACTGGTAAAGGCCAGAGGGAAATTTGGCCAGGACCCCAGAACATCCTAATGTCCAGGACTTTGGCCACTTCTCCTTCGTCTGCTGGCACTGCCAGGTATGCCATCCCTAAGGAAATAGAGAAGCCTCGATAGCTGGTAAATCTACCATATCCTTGACCACCTGTCCCGTCAATAGGATAAGAAATAATGTTGTAATATTCTACCGCCATCTGCTGGTCATTACCGGCAACTATATGAAATGATGTCATCTATGGATTTCATTCGAAACACAGGTTCAGGAAATGAACTGAAGTCTAATAGCTGTTACCATGCACACAGTCTGCTGGAAGCAAGGACGATCAATACCTTACAGACGTAATTCTATGAAAACATACAAGGCGTGTACGTTCTAATGTGAAACTGCGACTTCAACATTTTCAATAACGGTGAGGTTGTCGCACACGTAAACGAGCAAACACTGACCACGCACAGCGGCTGCGAGTGAAGTGACTTCAATCCACAATGAAGTGGCTAAAATTCCTACAAAAAGAAGCAGTACAGCTGCAGACCAGGCAGGGAGAGAGTGGTGTGCTGAGCTCATTGATTTCTGCACTATGAAATGACATGGCAAAGGTAAGCTGCATTTTATGTAAATACGGTTCTGGTTCTTGGTTTGTGTTGGCCAGCTTCTCTTCTGCCCTTCCTGTTCTGCTCATGCCCATGCCCTCACTCACTGTGGTCAAACGCAGTGGGGTTTCTACTCAAGTGAACGGTAAGTTCTCACATGCGGTTGTCTCTGTCACACCCTTTCACACTCTTCTCCCTTCATTAAAACATGCCTGACTGGATTCTGCAAGCAGGTGTGCTTTCATTTACCTTTTCACTTACCTAACCTTAACACATCGCTTGAATTCCTATATTTCTTCCAATGCATAAACCAGTTAGCATAAACCAGTTAGCTCCTGGTCCGGCAGTGTTGAGGGTGAGGAGTCCTCATGTGAGCCTGTGGAGTGGGTGAACCTCTAGGATGGGCTGCACAGCTGGGCTGCAGGCTGTCACACCCTCGTGACAGGGTGTTCACAAGGATTTCATCAACAAGATAGGTGTCTGTCTGTCTTGTTGATGAAATCCTCGTGAACACCCTGTCCGGAGTCATCTCCTCTCGTCCATCCACCCCTTGATCCCATGATCCTGATCCTTGGCTGGTGTCCTGTAGGGAGTGGCGGCGAGCTGGTTGATCATCGATACCCCACACAGGAGATGCCTCAGTCTGGAATCAGACACAGAACACAGTGCTTATTTATGTATTTAGCGAAAGCAGAGTCCCTGAGCCAAGCCATAGCTCCTGGTCCGGCTGTGTGGAGGGTGAGGAGTCCTCATGTGAGTCTGTGGAGTGGGTAGACCTCTAGGATGGGCTGCACAGCTGGGCTGCAGGTGGGTTCATCCCACTGGATCACAGAGGGCTGCACCGACTCCCCATCTGGAGAGGCTGGGAAAACGTGCAGCAATTCGGAGTGGACTCTTTCCCTAGGGGGGACGTGAAAGCCAGGAGGCTGTGGGGCAGGGCTTGTGATGAGGCGCTTGTTTGTTAAGTCCAGTGCTTCCCATCCTCGAGCCCAGGTGGAGTCTGCCTTGAAGTACGGATCTACACCACCTTGCTCTTTGCCACCCAACCTTCGGGAGTCTTTATAAATACGTGAGGGAAGGGCTTGGGACTGTGAACTCTTTCTCAGCCCAAATTGGGATTTCTGCCTATTCTACCCTGTAGCACATGGAAGCATTGGCGCAAATATAAGCTGTCTTAGGATCTTCTCTTGCGCCCACTCCCCAATTTCAATCTACACAATTTAGCGCTGGTGAAGAGTCATTACATCTCACTCTGCAGGCATGAATAAGGTGGTGCTCTTTGGGACTATCTCTTTCTTTCCACAGACAGCTGCACCAGCATCAGGCTTAGCGATCAGAGATGTCTGCTCGCGTGAGAAAATGAAAACCTTGTTTCTCGAAGGGGGCGGCGGGCGTGCCCTGTGGTTCTGAGTAAAACAAGGACCTGACATGAGGCACGGGCACATCCACGCTAGAAAAATACCGTTTCACTATCTGTGAGCTCACATAAAGAGACAATTAATCAGGTGTCCTGGAGCAAATGGCAATAAAGAGGCTGATTGTCTGATGAGGAACAAACAACGTTCTGATAACTGATTTCATGTAGATTCTACTCTAACAATGCCCAGCTTTCTGTCTTTTTCACAGAACGCCTGCCCTACCCAGAGTTAATTGTCTCTCTCTCTCTCTGGCCACACCCCTCTACGCACACCCACAAAAAAACACAACCAATCAACTCCCCACGGCTCTCTGAGAGACCGGCCTGGTGAGCAACGACATACAAACCCACAGTTTCACAGACAGTCCAAAGGAGAGAGAAAAAAAAAAAAAGAAGAAAAACCTTCAAGTCGAGTCCTGCCATGGGCTGTCCCAGCACTGGGAGCGAGCCTACAGCTGGGGCTCAGGAAGTGGGAAATTTGATAGGAGCTTCTGTTGCTCAGACGGCCACAGCTCACAGCTGGGAGAGAGCGGGACTCTGGAAAAACTGACACACTCCCCTTTCCTGCTGCCGCCCCCCGAGCCTGGACGCACAGACACACAGACACGCCGGAGGGGAGCAGGGAGAGGGACGGAGGCAGAGGAAGAGGGGGGGGAGAAGATGGAGGACTCCTTAGCGTTCCCGCAGAAGTACCCCACCCTGTCGGTGGTCCTGTTGTCCGTCGTGTTCAGGGCAGTCCACAGGCTGCTGCGGGTCGTGCCTCTGCCCAAAGCCGTGGAAGTTGACCGGTTCAAAACCTGGAAGTGGAGAAACCTCTGTGTGTCTCTGGTGCACTCCTTGCTAACCGGGCCCTGGGCAGTGACATGGTAAGTCAGCCCTGCCTCTGTTACCAGTTCTGACCCTCGCTAGAGGTGGCTTATGAGCTTGAGAATCTGGGATCTGCACCGCGAATCAGCCCTGCTTGCACGTAAGTACTTGTATAGACGGGGGGGGACAGACAGGGGAAGACGTCTTCTAAAATTCCGGTGAAGAGCTGCGTTCCTGTTTCAATTATGAGCGACTCGGGGAGAGTGCCGATTTCTCGCCGTTTTGCAAATGTGCAATTTCAAACACCGGCCGGCAATCGATCAGCTCGTTGAAAACAGGGCAAAAAACGCCCCTTGTTTTAATTGCATGTCACCTGGTTCAGCGTTTCTTTCTTCTCTTTCCTGCCCAACCTGTATCACCAGCATGGGCATCGCCCTGCTAATGCACTTTCATATTTATGGCTTTGCTAAGGCAACACAAGTAACAACCAACCCCATGTCCTGCTAGACCACTGATCTGATAGCTAATTCCTCAGATTCAACCTGCAGTTACACTCCTGCTGCACCTGTACTATGATTAGTGTACACAAGTGTTCATATCAGTGCTCTCCTGTTGAACCTAATGCTGTGTAAGTCACTTAAGTATGTAATTATATACTACTTAAAATACTCTTTTTTTTCATTTATTACCTGGCTGTCACTAAGCCAGGGCTGTATCAACACACACCTTCGACAACCCCTGAACAGCAGTTGAGACGCTTATATAACTAGGGGGTTCAGATTCCCTGCACCCTTTCCAAGAAACAGTGGTCTTTTCATTTTAGGAATTTTGCATGCGACAGGTGTGTTTACCTCCTTGGTGCGGGGTCTCCAAGCATGCAGTAACAGATTTCTGTTAACGTAACAGAGGGGAAATGCTGGCCAGCTAGAATAACCAGCTCTGCAGGCAGCACACTGTGTGTGTGTGTGTGAGAGAGAGAGGCAGAGGGGAAGGAGCAGACAGGCTGTGAGGCAGGTCATTATATCGGGGCCACAGTAACACAGCCTATACTCCAGCTTCATTTGGTAAGCACAGAGAACCACAAGGAGCTCATGACACTGGCTGGCCTGTCCAAGCCCCTGTTTTAGTTTTGTGACACGTGTTACAAACCCGACAACAGGAAACACATTCCTATGTATAATGACCAGAGATAGATCAAAGGCCACGAGCTTTGCTGTGCACAAGCCACCCTGGATGCACCATTGGCTAATGAAACACCCCATGACCAGTGCTGCTACTGTCTACCGAAACATGACTCTCACTGTACCATTTGCGAATGTCCAGATTCTGTTGCGCCCGCAGCGCAGTGTATTCAATCCGCTTCTGACTAGATCGACTCTGCACCCATCCATTATCCCACTGGGATTTTCGAATTACTAGGAGTTAAGGGTGACAGCTGGGGCAGAGCTTGTGTGGGGCCGTGCCAGTGTATCATTTTCAGGTGGTTTCAGTTATGAAACCAAGGGAAAACCAATGCAGACCGGTTCAGGACCAGCTGAGGATGAAAGTGGAGGAGAGTGTGAAGATTTTGTCTGACTCAGTGGATCAGTTTCTTCCATTTTCTCGAGTGTTCAATGCAAGTTTGATGGAAAGACACTGTGGAAGAAAGTCCAGACTCTTCCAGGATCATTACAGTCGCTGCCTTACCAGAGGTACAGCGGAGTTTGGAAAGAGAAAAGGCGAGAGGAACTATATCCTACTTCCTATGAGACTATTTCACCCTCTCCTTCAGCAGAGCCAGACTCTCTCTGCCGTTCGATTTCACACAGGAACAGAGAGCATCGGCTCTCGTCACCAGACAGACCAGCCCCACGTCCTTCTTCCCTCTCCAGGAAGATCCCAAGTCATCCCAAGTGAGGGTGCTGTCCTCCCAAGGTCCTGACACTCTGGTCATCAAAAATCCCAGGGTGTTTCTCGAAAAGAGCAGGGGTGCTACCCAGGCGTCCTGGCCAAATTTCCCATTGGCCCTTACCAATCATGGCCTCCGAACAATCCCCATCTCTGAATTTCTCAGGGGCTTCTCACTGATAGCTGATGTGTGGTGAGTGGACTGTGCGCACTCTGGCTGCCATCACATTATCCAGGCGAGAGCTACACACTGTTGATGGTAAAGCAGTTTGACCAGAAAAACACGATGTAAGTGTAAGGATACTATTATATTATTCTGAAGCTCAACACAGGCAAGGCAAGCAGCAGAGGCTCAGCAGCCAGGACTCTCTCATCAGAGCTCACAGATGAGACGTGTTCGATGTGTACGCATTCCTAGCCTGGCTCTAATCACTCTGTCTTCTGCCCCTGCAGCGTCGTGTGGTGGCCTGAACTGCTGTACAAACTCCGCTCCTTCCACACACCAGTCGCCTACCTTCTCATCTGCGTCTCCACCGGTAAGTAACGGACCTCAATGACCCACAAGCAGTCTTCGGTTTTTCTCCCCCTCCCGGGGGGAAAACAAAAAGGCATTTTAACAGACAGGAGACAGTCACGGCTTGGAGGTTGATGTTACGCTCCGACGCGGCTGTGCTCACCACCGCTACACACAACTACGGGCCAGGCAAACCCCTCAAGCCCGCCAGCAGAGGAGCAGAGCGCCGATCAACCAGTACCGAACACCCACAGCGTCTGTTCTCCCAGAGGAGAGCTCCCTGCCCTGTGGAGCCCTTTTGAAATCCACTTGATTTCTCCTCTGAGCTACCTGTGCAGAACACCATAGTTCTCCCTCTTTATGACAACCCCATTACGCATCAGCCCTGTTTTCAATGCCCGTCTGGACCTTATATGCAAGATGGACTATGTTCTGTTTGTGTATGCAATTCTGCCGTGAAATACAGCAGAAGTAATGATCAGCAAATTCAGACGACGTCCCAGTCGGCTTTTACTCTTTGAGGTGCTCTTTAGCATGTTGGATTTGACTGGCTTTGCCTGGAGAAAGCCCTGCCTTCGTTCTGATTTGAAATCATTAACCTGCTGTTTGACTAGCCTGGAGCACAGGCAGGCACAGGGTGTAGTCCTGAAAAGGCAATGTGTGTTTTTTTCTCCCGATAAGACTTCCAGCCCTGCCAGTTCCCCCAGATACAGCACCTCTCACCTACACACAAAGCCAACAGGGATGCCAAACAACACAATAGCTCTGCCTCCTTCACTGGACATGCAGAAGGAGCACGCGCCCTGGACAGGGTGCTTATAACACCATCTGATTGTTTCACAGGCCAGCACAGGGCCAGAGAACAAAGCCACTGAGGAGGTACTGCCTCTGGACAAAAGGGAAAAAATCTTGCAAGACTGTTATGTCTGCATGGTTACCACTGTGCTCCATGCTATTACGAGATCTGTTGGGACAACACAGGATTTAAGCCACCCCTGTGAGCTCCGCAGAGCCGTCTACAATGAGCTGCTGCTATGGTTATTGATGCCAAAAGCCTCACTGAATGAGAGAAGCTTTGTATTTAGGGAGAGGTGCCACATTTGACGTTGGTACTGTGTGTTGTGAGTCTCCGAGTCTGTCCGACTGCCTGTCAATGCCTGAGTTTGGTCTGATCTGGATCAGCTGAGAGATCCTCCGTCAGCTGAGGAGGAGTCGGGGGTCACCGTATGCACAATCATCTCAGCTCTCTTGCTTTTCCCAAAGCTGGGTGCATCTTCCAAAGAGGCTTACGAGCAAGGCATCCTGTACATCTGCGTACACTGCAGAGCAGCATGTAGAAGAAGGCTCCTAATGTGAACAGGCCAGGAAGCATCACAGAATTTCTGGCTAAACGAGATTCTGAATGCAATGTACCTGTAAAATAAATTACCTGTAAAGCGCTTTGAGTGGAGTGTCCAGAAAAGCGCTATATATGTGTAATAAACTACTTATACTACTGCTGCTACAACTGCTACTGCTATTACTACTACATGTGATGCTGAGTCTGTAGCTGTTTAAGACTGAGCGTGCTGACCTTCTCTTCCTGTGGCAGGGTATTTCATCCAGGATGCAGGGGACATCATTTTGAGTGGACAGGCTCGAGCATCCTGGGAATTCTTGCTCCATCATGCTCTGGTAAGCGTCACTGAAGGACATGCCTGTTTCCAGGTCACTCTGACCTGGATGTGCGCGCACTCACAGACCAAACCTTCAGAAAGACAGTTAACTGGTTATCAGGCCGAGGCAAGCAGCGATAACTGCAATCTGAGATCTGTAAACAGAAGCCTCACATTGTGTTTACATTATAGGGGTCCAACTGCAAAAACTAGCACTGTGCTCAACTGCAAAAACTAGCATGTGCCCAGGCTTCGAAAACCTAACCCTGCTGTGGTCAGACTGGGTCAATGAATCCTTAGAGCTTGCTGGGGACAATGGGAGCGCCCTGTGGCTGGTCCTGCAGCCCTGATGACTTCCTATGCATCTGTAACCGGCCAGTGCATGTGAGCTGGCTCACAGAACAACACTGCCCTTGTGCAGGGGTTCAGACTGTGGCAGGGCTGGGGGTTGTGCGAATGCATTGTGTTACAGTGCAGATAGAAGCCATCCAGAAGGAACTTCACAATAGAACACAAGTCATACACGTAAGCCTTGAAGATGGGACTAAGACACACACACACTCTCATCTACATGGGGGGGTGAGATTTTATAGGGGGTAGTCTGACTGCTAAGTGACTCTCCACCTCCCGTGTCCAGTCACAATCACTGGCCCGAATGGTCAAGCTGTTTGCACATCAGGAATAGAATTGCAGGTTGAATGTGACAAGAAGCAGTGAGCTTCTCAATGCTTTTTTGGAGAAATATTACCAAAAATATAAAACATACAGATTTAAAAGTGCCTGGAAGTCCTGTGGAAAACAACCACATAGAACTGGAAGAAACAGCTGGAAAACGGACTTGACTTTGTTTTCTAGCTATTGTGTGCTGAATGCTGGGTGGGGAACTTGACAACTATTTCTTGTAAAAGGCTGTAAGCATGTGGAACACATTCCTCAAGAATGAAGGCACCTCCTGACTGTCCGCCTGTGTTTCTGAGCAAGGCTCTTAGAGAGGGTTTACTCAGAGCAGTGAGAAAAACAGTGTACAGAACCAGTACTCCTGAGAGAACTGATTACAGCAACAATCAAATTCCAATTGCTGTGACTCTGAACTAGATATGTTTTATCAATTTGCTAAAATGGATGGGAACAATTTTCCCCAAGAACTAGACAGATTTGCAAATATTTTGATGCTAAAGGATTTGGTTTCCTTGTGTTATGGGTTTGCATGTTGTGCAGAAAAAAATGATATTGTAATCAAGTACAGAGACAGCTCATTAACACTTTCAGATATGACACGGGAACAGCATATCAACATGTTGACCATGAGAAAGTACAAAATGCATCTAGATACTGAAAAAAACAACAACAACATGTTTTCAGCTCCAGGTACACTTGACATCCTAAAGTCTGCTCTATAATTTATCACATATCTCTGCCATAAACAAGTCATTAGCCAGCAGCCATATCACTCTGCAGCTCACCTCCTTGGAAAGCTTAGATTGCTGCTGGAAGAGGTGTTAGTGGGGCCAGTAGGGGGCGCTCAGCCTGCAGTCTGTGCGGGTCCTAATGCCCCAGAATAGTGATGGGGACACTATACTTTAAAAAGGCGCCGTCCTTCTGATGAGATGCAAAACTGAGGTCCTGACTCTTTGTGGTCATTAAAAATCCCAGGGTGTTTCTCAAATAGAGTAGGGGTGTTACCCCAGTGTCCTGGCCAAATTCCCCCCTAGACTCTACCAGTCATGGCCTCCTAATAACCCCCATCTCTGAACTGGCTTCATCACTCTGCTCTCCTCCCCACTGAGAGCTGGTGTGTGGGGAGAGTACTGGTGCACCATCCAGGTGGGGCTGCACACTGGTGGTGGTGGAGGGGATCCCCATTACCTGGAAAGCGCTTTGAGTGGAGTGTCCAGAAAAGCGCTATATAAGTATAAGCAATTATTATTATTACTAACAAGAAATAGCATGCAATTCCTAAAAAGCTCATTGCAACCGTGATCACAAAGGTCTTGGCCTCCACGCTGCAGTGCTGAAACACAGTGCCTGTCTGTCCCAGGTGATCTGGTGCTTCCTGTACGCGCTCTACACGAAGATGTACGTGGCCGGCACGGTGGTGGCGCTCTTCGTGGAGGTGAACAGCGTCTTCCTGCACAGCCGGCTGCTGTTCAAGCTGGCCGCCGCCCACTCCTCGCCGCTCTACGGCGTCGTCAAGCTGCTCAACCTCCTCACCTACGTCTCCTTCCGCCTCGGCGCCCAGTTCTACCTCACCTGGTACATCCTGCGCCACTACGCCACCCTGGAGCACGCCGGCTACTTCCTGTCCTCCCTGCTGCTCATGAACGCCATGATGCTCGTCTACTTCTACCGCCTCCTCCGCGCGGACATCTTCCCCCAGGCCCGGCGGTGTGGTGCCCAGAACGGCACGGCGAAGAGCCACAGCAGCAAGTTCGTGTATGACTGAATGCCGCCCGGCTGGGGGGGGGGCATGGGTTCCCAGCCCCTCTCTCCCGCGCCGTCTCCTCCCTCCCCAGTCCAGCCTCGGCTCGGCAAAACCACAATCCTCAGGCTGCCGATGCCGGGACTGGATCCTGTTGCTCTGTTTTACATTCCCCTGGCTAAACTGGGATTTTTATTCCGTTCGCCGTTGTGCACCCAAGGGTTGGGACCTCTGAGCGGTCAACAGCCTTCCGCGCATCCTTTCCACTTCCTGTCCGTTCTTGACCGGCAAGCCCCCGCAGAAAAAGGCCTGATTAAAGGGTGGAAAACTGCCTGCACTGTCTTTGCAAGCAACTGTTGCATGAAACCCATTAAGGATGGAGGGGCGATACCGGCTTCACACATCAGACGGATTTCCTGGTCTGTGTATTAGCCACCACGCACTGTCTGAATAATTCACGTGATATGTCCATTCCTGCGAATGCACATGGAAAGGTACTAGAACGAGTGTGCTAACCGTGCTCTCTAATACATCTTAGCAGCTCCATGAACTCTCCCCATAGTATTTTTATAAAATAGGAGTAGCAAGCTTTTTTTTTTTAAAGAAAATGGCTGGACCAATCATATGGACATTGACAGTTTTAGGAATCTTGTACGGGGTTGTGGATGCATGAACCAGGGATTTCTAACGAGGGGTGTGGGGTCAAAAACAAAAAATAAAGTTTAACTTTTCACCCAGGAGTCTAGTGTTAGCAGTGGGGAAAGTCTCCACTCACACAGAGCCTCTGTTCTGACAGTGCTAGCAGGGTATCGGTTGACATACAGTTCCGTTTTATGAGCTTCCATTTGCTGTAGTCATCTGTATGCTTGGCCGTGAATCTGGAAGGTACTTCTGTTCGTAGTCAGAGGGATATCTTAAAACAGGTTCCGCTGAAAAAAGGTTGAAGCCTCTCACCTAACCACAAACACCACGCCTGCCGAGCACTCTCAGTTAATGGTGCTGCTGGCGGCCAGAGGGAGGCGCTATCAGTGGACTGGGAGCAGGATACCCCAGGCCGCGGGGAGCCCAGGTCAGTCAGGGTGCGACAGTGACCCTTGCGCACTTCCTGGGTGCCCATGATGCCTCACTGTCCCACCTCTGTTACTGAGGGCACTTACCACCAGGAGCAGCCATGTAGCCAGGGGTCAAAGGTCAAAGAGGCTTGATAGCAGAAGGCAGTGGATATGTTATGGGCTAAAAATCGGAAGGGTATAAATGGAATGGAAACTTTAATTAACCAGATGGGAAACCTCTTTGACCAAGTTTGAATTTCGACTCCCGGAACAGGTCACTGCTCCATTTCCCAACAAAAGAGTGCTAAGCAGAACAGCAGAGGATCAAGCTCTACCAGCCATGCGGGTCACCTGGGACGCCATGCCAGCAAGGGCAGATTTTTTCCTCCCCAGAATGATGGTAACCTTAAGGTGCCACCTTAAGAAACACAGTAGAAATTTACACCAAAGCAGTAGTAGCCAGTCAGCAGGCAAGTTAAAAGCACAAATACAGTCCATTCTCCTCTGGCTCGTGGGTGTTGACGCCACCACACACATACCATTACAGCTGGTGTCATCGCAGGGAGTCAATGTGACTCTCAGAAACCCTGCGTTAATGGACATCAGCTGAGCTCTCCAGCACCCAGAGAATTGTGCAAACTAAGGCAAACAGCCCCCCACAGTCAGGCTGACAAAGGCCTGATTGTCAGCAACACTCGCATTGTTCAGCACACATCTCAATACAAACACACACACTGCTACACTTGTGATGTGCAACAGTGAGAGGTGAACTGAACTCCCACTGTATCAGAAAGGCTCAGTGGATTCTTCAACTTCTAAAGAGCAAAGTTTTATACATAAACCGATCAACAGACATTTCATCTTCAAAAACAACCTGGCCTTCTAGATAAACGGGCTGTGAGCTTGAACGCAATACTTTAAAATACAAACAAGCCAAAACACTTGTTAGGATCTGCAAAAGAAATACCTATGAAAAATTCAAACTGATTGATTTAGCGTGACATACCAACAGTGAACATTTTCAAGAGAAGGCTGCTCAAACTCTGGTGAGCTGCTTTTTGGAGAAATGTTTTAGATTTTGTTTTATAAACCAGCTGGATTCTGTACTTGTTCCTGTTTAACCGGTTTCACATTCTAGCAGAATTATTGTCACATTCCAAGGAACACAAACACAGATCCATGTCACAATTACAAATACATCTGATGTGGTAAACTGCAACTACATTTTACCACATCAGTCTTGGGAACAGTTTACAGACTTCAAAACATGATGGTGCCATTAAAAAGAACAGATCCTGCCAAAACTCAGTCATTCACTTCACACAATAGCACTAATTTAAGAGCTATTCTGATATTAAAGGATTATAAACCATGATTCTATAGAAAATGAATAAGCACATAGAGAATTAGTGTTCAAGCTAACCCTAATCACTACTATAGCTACAGAGGCTTAAAGGTCTACAAAACCACTTGGCAGGTCCCAGGAAAGTCAGTCAGAAGAGACAGAACTCCAGCTGATAAAATACTAGCCGTTCACCAGCTGTAAGAGAATGCTAAATAACAAACTGGATTATTTCACCATTTAAAAAAAAAATCTCAATTGGGTATTTTGTTTGGTTATTTTTTGGGGGGGCAGGGGGTTTCCATTAAAATTACCTACATCTTTAAAAAAAATTTGTATAAATATCACTAATTGGTTCAACTTTAACAGCTTGAATAGTACAAATGTCAACAAACTGTGTATTCCCTATGATTTTCAAATATGAAAACTGTCCTATTTCACACTGGCTGCTGTTTAAAACTGTAGCCGCCAGGCACTGTGAACAAGGTCATATGCAAAAATAACCCCATAACATTAGCTATCAAGTTCAGAAAACTAGACTAAGAACAAGGGATGTCTTTGGGTTCTTAAACCCCTGTATTTTAAATGTTCCAGTAAAATTTATAGAATATAAGCTGTGTATTTCTCCATCTGATATATTGGCTTCTATGAATTTCAATACCAATCAGCAACAGTGAACATGACAATGGAACTTTACCTTTTTACTTGCAAATGTAAAACATTCAGAAGAGAATCTGTGTTTTTCAGTGTATGGGACAGGCCAGTAAGACCTCCAAGTAAACCCAAAGCACAAGCTTTTCAAATGCAGTCTCTGCTGCCCTCTGCTGTAACATCAAAGAATTGCGTCTTTGACGTAAACCCCCCCCCCGTCATTACTCCAGAAAAAGGGTAAATCACAGCAGCACCCTTCCTGCAGTGTTCAAGAGTAAAAAGGGTGCCCTCAAATAACAGGGCAGGTGCTGCGAAAGAAGAAATTGGATTTTTTTTAAAGTGTTACTATCATGGAACAAGTAAAGGTTTATTCCATGCTGAAAAGAAAGGACGTTTCGGCTGTGGAGCCTTCTTGGGGAAATGTTTCCTTTCTTCTCTTTTCAGCATGGAATAAACCTTTTACTTGTTCCTTTACAGCCTACGCATGCTGACGCAGCTCCCTACTTGTTACCATCATGGTTACATCTGAGATGAATCTTGGGAGAGGTAAAGGATTAGGAGTCCAGGCTACCTGCTTTAAATAAATGAGTCCGGTCTCCTACCTGGACCACACCACCACCCTGCTACTAGAGGCCCCATGCCAGCCTTGTTCAAACAGCTTGAATAGAAAGCATTAAAGACTACAAGACAATTCAGTCTTAGTTTTTAAAAAGCTTTATTCTTTGTACATTTCATGATGAACAGGTTAGATGATGCCGATCTGAAAGAGAAAGAAAGATATTTAGTTCTGATCCTGAAGCTAGGAGAGTAAACTGACAGGCTTTCATCATTGTGCATCAGTGGTTCCTTTGAAAGCATCAACGTTTTTAATCAGATGCTGATAATCATTTTCATCATGTGCACATTGGCATCCCTTGTAAGAACATAGATTGACTTTGTTATAAACCAGCAATGTCAAGCCTAAATACATCATTCCACTGCAAAATGCAACACACAGAAGCTGGCATTATGTCACAATACCCAATTTCACAACTAAGGACCAATTATTCTGCATGAAAGTGGAAGAACACCTAGTCCCTTAACTGCAGAACTGAAACAAATGAAAATAATTCACACCTCGGGCAATTAAGCTCTTAAGAACTTTACTGTTAAAACAGAAATCCTAGGTAATTTTAAAATAATTTACTTCCATTTTCCCCATTCTGAACATTTCAACTGATGAATTATATGAATGTTTTCACAAAATCCAGCAGTTTGCATGAACTCACACTGGAGGTTTAAAATTGCAACCAGAATTACAAATGAAAAAAATGTAAGAGTCAGGAACAACAAATGATTTAATTACTTTTTTCATTCACTTTCAGAAGAATATTTCCGTCATCAATATTAAAATGTTCTACACTCCTTATTGGTCAACGTAAAAACATGACTGCTTTGTCAGAGAGGAGACAACGAATCACAGCCCAGAACTCTGATGACCAAACTGGCCAGGATCGGCCCCAGAGCCCGCCTCCAAATCCAGAATCTCTATTTGCTACATTACTTTGGGTTTTAAGTTATAGCAAAAAAGAAAACTGAGCAAATGCAAGAATTTATAAGTCTGCTCTTCATTTGTAAGGTACTGGCTTACACATCAGTTCTAAAATGGGAAAAGTAAAGCTGTTTTCCAATAGAAAACTGCACCAGGGATTTTCTTACCCCACTACCTGTTTACTGGGAGCTGGCTGTGGATACTGATGAACAAGGTTTAATTCACTGTGACATGCAGAGGCAACGTAAATTTTCAAAAATACAACAAAAAGGTTAGTATAATGAAGTTAGTTTTTTGCACTTTTAAATGCAAAATGAACGATAACTACTTGTAACTGATTTGGAGATTTTTCAGCATGCTGTTAGTGTAAGGTATTGCAATAGTAAAACTGCAGACTGGGTTAAAAACATTCGGGTTCTGTCTAGAGCAGAACTAGACTGGAGAATAACACCCAGTCTGAACGGCTGGTCCTCACCTTGTTTGCAACATCCAACGCGTCGTAGTCTGGCGCAAGACGGACATATGCCTTCTTTTCACCATCAGGCCTGAGAGCACAAAGATTTCAGTAAGACTTTCACATGGCTGGCAGTGATTTCAAAGAACCATCTTTCTGTGAATCAGTGGTTCCTTTGAAAGCATCATTGTTCAGACACGATAAAGTTTCCATCACTTTCACAAGTCGAATAAAGCACTGGAGCTGCAGCTAGGTCTTTTTGGACTTTCTGGCACAGGAAAATTCACAAAGTAGCAAAACAAATTCAAACCAATGAAATGCTAGGACACACTTCGGTACTGTGATTCATACAATTTGATGAATTGGCTCTATCGACAGATACAAATTTATTCTAACTCAAGTCAGGATTTAAGGCAAAATCGGAACAGCAGCTGCTCACAAACAGCATCTTATCATTCGGCATTAGCCGTCAGTACCCCCTATCAGCAGGGACCCTCAGTTGGAATTCAACTCCCAAGTTCACCAAACCTCTTTTTGAGCTTTAAGCTGTGTGCATGCCAATCACCCTGCAAGTGGTCAGGTCAATGGTTACCAGTCCTGGTCCTGGTAGCCCCCACGCCTGCTGGTCTGTGTTCCAGGTTATACCTTTACCTAATGAAGGCAGGATGGAATAAAAACCAGCTGGTGTGTGGGTCACCAGGCCCAAGACTGGGAACCAATTAGGCCATAGTACAGCTCCCCTTGTCTGCTTTAATGCCAAGCTCTCTGCCCTGTTCCTCTCAGAAGCATGCTTACCGGATCAGTGTGTTGACTTTAGCCACATCTATGTCGTACAGTTTCTTGACGGCATGCTTGATTTGATGCTTGTTAGCCTTGACATCTACGATGAAAACCAAGGTGTTGTTGTCCTCGATCTTCTTCATGGCAGACTCAGTGGTAAGAGGGAACTTGATGATGGCATAATGATCCAACCTGAGAGGAATGGAGAGAGTCAGTGGACTTTGGGCCTTCAGCGCAGCATGGCAAGCAGGACACATGTAGAGAACTGACTGTGAGAAAGCATGTGCAGCATTCATCCTCTGGCATTAGAGTCACCATGGAAAGAAATGGTTCTCAAGCTAACAAGCACATTTCTGTTTATATTTCACTGAAGTATCTTTAATGGGAGTATCATTATGAGGAAACTACACGAACTACAGCAAAATCAAAACTCATCATTTACATCTATGCGCAACTGATGTTGAAAATACAATGAAACACAGTTTCTTCATTGGTAAACATGAGGATTGATAGGTGCATCAGTGTTTTAAAGCTGTAATCACTGTGAGATCATGCTTTGATCGCTAAAAAAACATCATCTGCACCACTCCAAAGGACAGAGATGTACATATACTGCACACAAATGCTCACATAGTTCCACAGTATAGCAGAGTTCCATTTTGGGTTAGTACTTTACATTACAGCTCCTAAACGGGAAGTAAAAGCTCACTTGTTCCTGCGAGGAGCGCTCTTCCTGGGGTACTTGGGCTGCCTCCTGAGTCTGAGGGTCTTGGGCCTCCTGAAGGTGGGGGAGGTCCTGATCTTCTTCTGCTTGTGGGTGTGCACCCCCTTCAGCACAGCCTTCTTCGCCTTCAAGGCCTTGGACTTGGCCTCGGTCTTGGCTGGGACAGCTGCAGCCCCAGAGAGGAGAGGAGAGGTGAGCAAGGCATTTTAAGTAAAGCAATCTTCACATTATAAGCTCTTAAGGAACTTTCCCCACTGTGACATATGTGTAGCTCCTGATCTCCAGGACTACTGTAGATTAAAAAAGGGCTAAAAGCACAACAAGGGCACAAATGTTCCAGAACCTACAACACTTTAATTTATTCACAAGGGGGTTTCACACAGTGTGTGACAAACTGTCTCTACTGCAGTGTTCACTCTTGTATACATTAAGGATTCATCCATGACTTCACATTTGGATCACCACCTGTTTGACTTAGTCATTTTGACAATGAAGGAGTTTAACATCGCAGACAACTAAAGATCAGAGGCGGACATCAATGCCATCAGGACACCCCCACAAGAGCAGACAGCCACATCGTAGTTTCAGAACATGCACAACGAAAATGGAAAAATGTATTATTTGTGATATTGGTTAATGCTTAAACAATTTTTCGCGTGCAACCGACCCGGATAATGTGAAATAACATCGTACGTGTAGCGCTAACGTTAGCATGCTCCCAGTTAAGAATCACATTGGAAAAAAACTTCCTCCATGTGTGTTGTAATGAACAATGGAGATCGTTCTGTAAATCTTAGCATTTGAAAATATTAAACATTTGTCTATAGGCGTCAAGAGAGCTATAAGTTATCCTAAATTCACTGGGACAGATGCTCCTTATGTGTCTGGGGGCTCTCGCGTCCTGACGGCGAAGTAACTCTTGAAATCGGGCCCAAGGCGATCAAAAACCCCAGCTCTAGAGCAGGTCTGTAACCGTGTAACTCCTTCTGCAGTTTAAAGGCAGCGTTTGAGTGAAGACGACCATTCTAGAAGCCGTTTACCCACCACACTGTGGGACGTGCTGTACGATGTCTAGATTCTGAATCGCTAAAACCACAAGTAAAACAATAAGCACATATTAAACCAGACGTTACAAAAATCCTAAAGAGACGTCATAATTTGCTGTGGATTTTGGCACAATCTGCCTAGATTTAAAATGAAATAAAGATTAAATTAATTCTACGTGACATATTGGTTCCTGCGATGTCGACTGGGATACAGTCTGACCTGAACCCGCTGCCGGCCCAGCAACCCTTGGTCTAACTTTAAAAGAAAAGGGCACTGCTCACCCATTACAACTATGCAAAAGACTTGGAAGTCCAATACATGTTTTCGTTTCTATTATAAATTTGTACAAGCCGTTCCTGAACCTTAATGGGCTATAACGAACGTACATTTCATGAATAAACCTACAAACGTGGTGGAGACTTCACACACGTTGCTCTGTCGAAAGCTGCTCAACTGCTAAAGGCCAATATCTCGCGAAGTACGGTGAATATTCTCTTTATATTTTCACGCTTTTATAAAAATAAGAGTAACGTCTCAAAGCCTGTCGCTGAAAACTCCCCTTAACGACATAATTTTACACCGTTTAAGAATATTTACGGTCAAGTGCTACCCACCTTCCTTCTTCGCCTTCGGAGCCATCTTGGGAAAGGGAGAGCACACGGGGTTCCTCACAGTATATCGCAGGGGCAGGAAGTGGGAGGTATCGCGAGGCTCGTCCTCGCTGCCTCACGGGAGTTGTATTTTCAAAACGTCTTAACTGCTTTGGACTACATAAGCCTTAAATCAGAAAAAAAATGGTACAGTTATTTCAGAATATGGGAAAATTGATTATTATGCTTCTTCGACTCTCGTAATAGGTCTTAACAACAGCGATGTTTTGCTGGAATTTTACGGCGAATTACAATGCAACCTACAACGTTAATCAATTAAATGAATACATTTAACATAAATGCTAGTTAGTTGTAGTTCATTTGGGTTACATTTCCAACCCATTAATATAGCGTAGCCTTTCATTTAATGCGCGTGATGTATTCTAGTTCTTTATTATCGCTATAGGTGAGTAACCCAGTGGACTGTGAGAAAGTCTTTTAGTCCACCCCTCACTGTACTGATTGTATTGTATGTATTGTACTATTATTATTGTATCATTCGTTACACTGTGGCTGTGTTGTCTGTGTTAAGCTGCTGTTGCACTGCAATTCCCCTCACGGGATCAATGAAGTATCTATCATAGGTGTTTGACTTCATCGCACCGCAAGCGCTTGATCGCAAACCGCGTCGCAACCGGGCAGCTGTGCGCAGACTGAAATGACACGATGTGGCCAGCAGGTGGAGCCAGCAGCTGTGTCCAAAATCCCCACTAGGGTCTCGGAATGATTCCCGAACTCAGCAAATGCCGTTTCTGAATGGAAGAAGCATTGCAGACAGTCTGAGTCACCAGTTAGTTAATCCAAGACATGTGTGCGCGGCTTTCGGTATTCCCCTCCTCCGGAATCATTTGGGATTGAGGAAAGGGAAGAGCTTCTTTTTTTTTTTGGAGCCTGATCTCTCTTAAATGAGCTACCTACTCTTCAATCACTTTTCACAAGCGATAGAAAGTGCCTCACTTTACGGTACGACTGAGAGGTAGCAGAACTCGTAAAACGAAACTTGATTCTCAATTTGTGCGTGTCGAGGTAAGTGTCTAGCTTGCATTAGACTGTGAAAATTGGGTTTTTTTAACTCCTGGTTACAAACGTGAAGGCTTTTTAAATTCCGGAGCCATTTTTAACTTTTTAATGTCTCTGCCCTTGTGTGCCTATAGATGGGTCTTCATCATCGGTTTTAAAGCTTTGGAGTGGGACAGCGCAAAATGTTACAGCGAGGTCTTTGCGTGAAAGAATCCCAGACAAAAGTTTTTTTTGCACATTACCGTATTCTTTATATATCTTTTACCGTTCCTTTGAGCTACAGCTACCGAATTAGTTCATTGCAATAGAGATGGGAGATTAGAGAATAAAAGCATGTCTTTTTTATCTTGAAAGAAAGTGTTTGCAAGTTTTTTTTTAATGCGTCGAAAAGTAGTCTAAGCTCACTGCAAACTATCTGCTGTGATTTTTTTTATCATAAAAAGCGGCCTTAGCTGTCTGGTCGCTGTAGATAGAACACCCAGTTACTGTTTTTGTCTTTGTTCAGGGATTTACTGGAGAAACGGATTATTGGAGATTAGTCCGACATCGTCTGGAGTGTTTATTTTATTTTAAATATAACTGAATGGCGTAATGTTTATTTCCCACGCCACGTTTCTCTTTCAGTCTTATGTTAGTCACATGGCCTTAACATTCAGCTTTTTCGTCAGGTAAAACCTAAACACATTCTTGTTCTTCTGCAACGATTCATTTTCGAGTCCTGTTCAGGGGAGAGTCCGGCCTCATTGATCCGACACGACGCCCGATGTCACACCTCCATATCGGCCGCGGTTACTGTATTGGCGAACTGTAAACTGGGGAGCATTTCCAGTCTTTTCTCGCTAGATGGATAAAAATGAGCCATACTAGCGTTCGGAGAACATGTCATTACCGACCGAGAAAGTAGGGAGAGTCCTGGTTTTATGCTATTTGTCTTTTAAGCGCCTGAGAAACTTCTGAACTGCGGTACATCGTTGTACGAATCGGCTTCTGCACTTTTAATTTACACAAAAGCACGACGGTATGGGTGCTCTGGGGCATTTATAATGATCACGGACAACTGTCTGTAAGCATCTTGCTGATGTCAAAGAGAGAGCAGACATTTTGAACATGCAGTAGAACCATGACAAAAAAATGTTTTTTTTTATAATGCACCTATTCCACTGTACAATAAGTGAGGAGAATTGGATGGCTTTTGTTGTGGCGTTGTGTTCATAACCGTCTGCAGCAGCTGTTTTAAGTTTGCCGAAGGTGAGCCCATGCAAATCTGTATTGACACTGCTGTACTGTTGCTAAGCGGCCAGGAATAACTGGCGTTGCCAGAGACTCTGTATACAAGCCGGTGAAGACTGGGAGAGAAGAGCAATCATATCTCTCCTGCTGGGGCTCCAGGCTGTAAACTCCGCAGTTCGGCAGCTCTAACAAAGCCAGGAGCCAAGTACAGAGGAGTTCTGTTATTGGCCTCCCCGTTGAAAGAGGAAGTGTAGTTGCACTTCAAGAAAAGGTCATGAGGCGGAGTGTTTGTTTCCAGATTTGTTTTTTTTTTCTAATTCAGGGGTACCACTTCCTGGACCTAGGAGGGGGGCCCCTGGAATGTTATCGTGGTCAATCTAAAGCACCGGCACTTTAGAAGCTACAGTATCGCTCAACTGATGCAGTTCAGCCCGTAACGAGCTCGTCGAGGTTGTAAAGAGCACAGCGGTGTTGGAGCGCAGACACCCCAGTCTTCCAGGATGAGTAACCCCCTGGTCTAACGTGAACTTTCGCCCGTGTCTCCTCTGCGTTTCCCGACACAGGCCTCCCGAGTTCTCGCCTCCGTGCCCACGGGTCCGCCATGAGTGTCCTGCCTCCCGTCAGGAGAGACCGGGTTATCCCAGCCCTCCCCCAGGTACCCGCTGGCAAACGATCTGGGCGCTTTCGCAGTTGACACCCCGGTTTGATCCGGCAGCCTGCTAGCAAATCACGCTTGTTCTGGGTTCCTGATAGTGTCTGAGAGATGATAAAAACCCAGAGGTTGTCGCAGCACGACTATAACCCACTGTCCAATGGGAATATTTATTTGTCGGAGCCGTATTTTAAATAAAAAAAAAAAATCCTACTGCAGTTTAATATGCCTTATTGTGCAGGGACTGTAGTCTGATTTTATCAAAGGTCAATCGACTGGTATAAAAAATGAAAAGAATGACAAAAAACTAACAAGCCTGGCCCTCAGCATCTTGTCAGACATTAGTGGCATTTTAGTTTCAAACAAAGCACTTCCTTCCTATGTTAATGGATTACAGAAGTAAACAGAAAAATGTGCCTTGTGATCCATCAGTTTTGTAATCCCGATAGAATGTGTTTTTTTCTTCACAGGAGGTATTAAAGTAAGTGAACTGACGTATCCCCCCTCTCCCCTCTGGGATGGCTTTGATGTTTCATTGTTGCAATGGATTCAGGCCCAGGAAAGAAGAGCTTATTTCTAGCCCAGGCTTGCAGAGTGCCTTTGCCTGCCTTTTCTAACCTCAGACGGAACAGCCAGCCTTCCCAAGGCCTGCTGGCAGCCCCGGGCCCTGCTGTTTCTGACCCAGACAGGCTGGTTTCCTGCAGCTACCAGACACGCTCTCTGTGTGGTCTGCTCTTGGCATGCTGGGAACTGAATCCTGACTACTTCGAGAGCAGGCCGGAGCATGCCAGTTCCTTGCTCTGTCCCTGCTCTCAGCTGGGTCTCCGACCCTTGTGAGCGGACCTGCGGACCTACACGTGTGGGGATTCGCTCAGTTGATCAGCCTAATTACTGTGCAACTGGCTGCTTCACAAGGCTGAAACAAGGGTAGGGGAACTGTAAAGAGTGGTAACTCGGAGTGATTGGATTTCCAAGATATGTGCCTTTTGTTTTCTTCACAATTTTAATATCTGCATTGTGGGATAAGAAGGGTAAGATTATGAGTAATTATATTCTGGTTCATTTAAAAGAGGGCCAAAGGAGCCCATTGTGATACACAAAGCAGAAAAATGTCATCCTGTAAAGCAGATCAAGTAATTGCTCATTTCTGATTTTAAAATGATCGATAATAATTCCCTAAACTGACTTCTGTTTGTTAACAGGAGTTTCATTTTTGCTCTTACCTGTACAATTAAGTTTGTGCAATTAAGATCAACAGTATCTTTCCTTTATTTGTTTTTATTTCCATAGTGCAGGGATTTCCAATCCTAAACAGCAGGTGTGTGGATGTTTAGGATGAAGATTGGGAACCCCCTGACACCATGTGGATTAAATTCCATTTCCACGGGAGTGAGAATGTGTTGTATTTATGGGTTGCCTGGTATAACACGAGGGTCCACACCCCCCTGTTTCTTCCTCCTCACAAGTGTAAGCAAGAGAAAGGGGGCCTCTCCAGGGGCATTCTGGGATTTGTCTAGCGAGCGGTCTATTGCTTCGTGCTGCGCTGGTTGATCAGTGCAGGGAGTGCAGTTAGTTCACACACACTCGGCTGTGTGTAGCGTCTCCGGGCTGGAGGTGCCAGCCGGCTGGAAAGTCCTGGCGCCGGGCGGTTCGGAATAACAGGAGCTCCGGCTTCCCGATGGGTTTGTTTTTGCCCATGGTCGGTAAACCTGCCGTCTTCACACTGTCGTTCCAGTGCTTCTCCAAAGACGCAGCCCTGCACACCAAGGACAGCTTCCACCCCAAAGTGAAGACCGCCTGCCAGGAGCAGCGCACCGGCACAGTGGGGTGAGCTGAACCTCCAGCCCGCCTGCTCTTTTCCTCTCGGCTGCTTTCGCTTTGAAATCCCGTCAGCGTTCCCGTGAGTACAGTTGCCTTGGGAATGAGCTACGTTCCCCGGGATCTTCCAGGCTCTGCGTTGCTATGTGTGGCATGTTTTAATTTTCTCCACGAGGGAAGGGGGGAGAGTGCTGGGACTTTTGTGTTGAGACAATTCCGCATCGCCTTTTCTGACCTAACTGTCGCGAACAGCGTCCTTGTGTGGACCTGTACATGACAGTGCATGGTTTCAATAGGGGCCGCAGATCAGTCTGACAGTTTCCTCCTTCTTTCTCTCCCAGCAGGTTTAAGATCTCTAAGGTCATTGTGGTTGGAGATCTGGCAGTGGGAAAAACCTGTTTAATTAATAGGTGAGCAAAGTATTGGTGATTTAGTGTTTGATGTTGCCAAGGGAACCTCCTAGTGCCGGAGCAAAGGGCAACATTCTCTTAAATCTCTTCATGGTTTGGAGAAAAACATGCATGACCTCATTGTGCTTTCCTGATGAGGAATCCAAGAGCGTTCCTGTCGTGTCTGGTCTATAGCACATTGTAGCCCACATTACTAACTCACACACAGTGTGACTGTTCTCCTTCCTCTGCCACCACTGCTACAACGACAACAGGGTACCTCAGTGAGCTAATGGAGAGACACAAAAGCTTTCTTCTTGGTCTTTAATGAATTTCTTCGTTACCCAGAAGGGCAGCGTTGCCCAAGGCTCCTTTGTGGGGTCCACTTAGTTGACTGTCTAAATTTAAGACTAGGCAGGATTTCAGGCGAGAAATTAATGCAGCATTTCTTTGTCTTTTGTGCCATAAGGTCAAAGTGAGACGTGAAATCCCAGCCCTTAGCCCCCTCATCATTTCCTGTGCATCAGATATGAAGGCTAGATAGGTGTGTGGGTTCAGATCCACTCTGACTTTCCTCCATCCATCCATCAGGAAGTGCTGGCTGTAGAGTTGCTGTTATCCCAAAGAGCAGTGGAACTGTGGTTCTTACTTGCTTGGTTGACAACACAAGAACGGAGACGTCTAGGAGCACAGAGAAGTCATTGGCTCTTCCGTCCTATAGATATAGAAGTGACTCTCCTCCAGGCCAAAACCACATTTCGGAAGATCAGGTTGAAACTCAACAGCCCACTAGTTGACAGAAGTTCCTCCCCTTCGTTTCCAGGTTCTGTAAGGACACGTTCGACAAGAACTACAAAGCGACCATCGGGGTGGACTTTGAGATGGAGAGGTTCGAGGTTCTGGGCGTGCCCTTCAGCCTGCAGCTGTGAGTCTCACCACGGAGCGTGCCGTCGATGGCGTGGCGCGGCAGCACGCTAACTCCTCTTCCTGTGCCCCACAGGTGGGACACGGCCGGGCAGGAGAGGTTCAAATGCATAGCATCCACCTACTACAGAGGAGCACAAGGTACCTGCGCGATACCGCACAGATCAGGAGCGATAAAGCGGTGTAGAAGAGGGCCAGCAGTGCATGTAAACGTTTTGTAGCAGTAACCAAGATCAAAGATCAAAATAAATCAAGGAAAGTACAGAAAGTACAGCCTCTAGGCTGCTAGTAGTACTGACCCCTGTCTGAGTTCTGTGGTTTGGGCCTACAAACCTGTGTAGGGAGAACAATGTTTACTAACCTCGTGCTGTGGCGTGTTTGATGATCATCAGCCTCCACCATGTTTCTTCCCCTCCTCCAGCGATCATAATCGTGTTTGACGTGAACGACGTGGCCTCCTTGGCGCATGCAAAGTAAGTGCGCGTGGCGCTCCCTTTCCTGAATGACCCTCTCGCCCAGCTTGAGAATACAGACTTGTACCACTGGTGCATTTTCAAAGCCTCACCGAGTGCTTGCTTTCAGACAGTGGCTGGAGGACGCCCTGAAGGAGAATGACCCCGCCACCGTGCTGCTCTTCCTCGTCGGGACGAAGAAAGATTTAAGCGTAAGTGCAGCTGTCTCGCTCCGGCGTGACGCCCGCAGCACCAAAACGCGGGTGAGGGTCCTGTTGCTAACGGCGTTCTGCTTCTTCCTTTCAGTCCCCTGCCCAGTACTTGCTGATCGAGCAGGATGCCATCACACTGGCCAAAGAGATCAAGGCGGAATACTGGGCAGTGTCCGCGCTAACTGGTGGGTGCAGGGTGAATCATCATCATCATCATCATCATCATCATCATATATGATGATGGCACAACCAGGCCTCAGTTACCCATGAGCTGCAGGCAGTTAACGTTGTGGGAGACTGCACTAGGGACTGCAGAGGTCACACCTTATTTGAATAAAGCCAGGTCGTACTGGTTTCCTGCAGTATTGCACAAGCACAGAAAGTGATTTTAAATAAGAAGGGAGAGGTCCGCCAAGCAGATGAAGCAGTGAAAGCACAGGTTGTAGTTCCCAGTTCAAATCTGGGCTGTGCCACTAGTCAGCAGCGACTGGGCATCTCCAAGCAGCGATTGCTGATGGGAGGACTCTGGCCAGGTTGTGGGCATCGGCGTGTGCACCCAGGCCAGCTGGAGCTCTTCATGTTGTGCTTGGCCTCTTGGGGAAATTGTTGCGACAGTCGAACGTAGGTCAGGCGTGGAAATAGCTGCTTATTCTGTTAGACAAATGACATTTTTGATTTGTTATCTCCTGCTAGGTCCTCATGTGGAAATCTTTATAGTTTCTTTCATGGAAATGTAGTGGTAGAGTCAAACCCTTTAAAAGGCCTCCTGTTGATGACTCTGATCACCTTTGCCGCAGGGGAGAACGTGAAGGAGTTTTTCTTCCGCGTGGCATCGCTGACATTTGAAGCGAACGTGCTAGCCGAGCTGGAGAAGTCGGGGTCCCGTCGGATCGGAGATGTAGTTCGTGAGTATCCCTGGAACTGGGATTCCATCATCCCAAAGCGATTCCAAATCCTATCATTCCATCATCCCACATTTTTACAAAAACCTTAGAAGAAGCGCATTTCATTTTAGAAAGCACAAGATTGTTAGAAGACTTGTAAGCAAATTAGAAAAAGTATTGATTTAAAATCACAAGAATCCAATCTCATGTTTAAAGCCCACATTACAAGTTACTGATAAAGGATTGTGTGAAGAATTGTTCCTTAGATCTGAAGGCAGTGAATTATGTAAATGTTGCTTCTGATTTACAAAGTAGCATTGGCCCACACATGATCATTAAGGTGTCAGAATGAGCACACCCATCTTTAAAAAAAAAAGGTGGGGATGTGATCTACAGTATTTCCACTGGGCTCCCTGTGAACTACACTCAAGACATGAACAATTCTTCCTTTCGTTTCCATCCTGGACTGGAGCGAATACTCTGTACATGATCGGTACCCAGTCTGGTTCCTAGACACAGGTGGGGGCGGAGTCTGCGTTAGAAGAGCTGTCCAATCATAGCAGCTCTCCTAGTATGTCATAGCTGCACCCGTAAACATTAGCCTGTGGTTATAGCAGAAATGATTTGAAACAAAATGATTTAAGTAAAAAAGTTTCAAACAGAAGAGTGCCATTTAACAGGACTAACAATTTAGTCGAATTTAGGGTGCAAGTTCGCCATCTTCTGGTAGTGTGAAATACTGCTGGAAGCTTTCACTATGAACTGCAAAGTTAATAAAGCTGCACAAACAGCTGGATGAAGATAGTATAACGTACTTATCTGGTTTTGGGTCCTCCTCGCAGGGATAAACAGCAGTTCCAGCAACACGTACGTGACCTCGAAGAAGAAGCAGGCGAGCTGCTGCCAGTGAAGATGAAGACGCGGGAGCCAAAGATCCGCTTCAAACACCCCTCAGCCCGGGAGAATAGTCCCACCAAAGACGCGTTTTCACAGGGAACAAGTCTCTCTCACCGCTCATATCGTACGAACGAATTGTTTTTCAGAGTGAAAAGTAGTCGCCAGACCCATTTCGATCAAAGTCAGAAATGATTTAGCGTTTAAAAACCTGTCTGGTGTCTGCACCCAAACCCAGTCCACTCGTCTTCAAAGTGAGACTCTTTCCGATTCGGGTGGACTGAGTGCATTTCATCTTCCTTGAGATTTTGTTCCCAGTTCTGACACTGTTGATGATCTCCAGGACTGACTCTGCTTCGAAAATGGATTAAAGTCTGTTTGATCATTTCAGCTGGACCTGAAAGCTGATCAAGAGCACCAGGAAGTGGTCGGAATTGGTCCTTCTCTCAGTAATTAGCTTTTCCTTTGTGTCACTGCCCCATTGACATGTAAATATCATATGTCCTGTTTAATCGAGAGATTTATGCAAAATTATGCAATTATACAAGTTACCGCTTATGCATGTCGATGACAATCACTCCTAGTATTAAAGAAAATACTTCATGTTTAGGAAGAAAAATGTTTAATCTTCATATGCTGCAGGAGACCTGTAGCCCTTGTGTGGTGTTGCATTGTATTCCTGATGGTTTGGTATATTTACAAAATCAAGTTAATTGTAGCCCGAGAGGAAATATACCTTCAGTGTACTAAAGCCTGATTTATTTTATTAGGTGATTTGTCGCATTGTATAAAAGAGCATTTATCTCGTTTACCATGTGTAATTGGAATGAATCATCTTAAAACTTCTGACACAGATTTTTAACAGACACACAAATTCATATTTCTGTTTATTGCTCAACTGTGCTTTAATGTTCTGTGCTGTGGATGAAGGGGAGAGCTGATAAACAGTGCCCTCTAATGGATTATTGGAGCTTTTCAAGCAGCCTGTACAAACTAGGGACTGGCCCACTACCTTAGATTTAAGTACTACATTACCAACTTCAACTTCGGGATAAAAAGGTGAAATTAATCCATCCTTCCATGTTCTAACCACTCTATCTAATAGAGGGTTGTGGAGGAGCTGAAACCTACCCCAGCATGCAGTGGGGACAAGGCGAGACGCCAGTCCACCGCAGGGCGGACACAAACACGCAAGCACGCAGGCACTCGCACTAGGGGCACTTGTTCTAGAATGTTTTTGGACTGGGGAAGGAAACCCACCAGTATGATTTTGGACTGGGGGAGGAAACCCACTCCAGCAGGGGAAGACCATACAAACTCCACGCACTGCGTAGCCAACGGAAGCTCTTTAAGTCGTTTCAGCCTGAGAGACCTGCTGTTCCTCCAGGACAGCTGGAGAAACACCAAAATCAGGGCTTCCTTTCAGACTACCCAGTGGTCATAGCAGCACACCTCAAACCAGCTAAAGTGCCCTCTCGATCTTACGCTTGAGTTTAACACAAGGAGGCTGGAAACCGTCCCAAACCCGATTGGAGATCTCCTGCGTGAAGTGGGCCTGGAGGTTCGCCCCCCCCCTCCTCTCAGCCGGATCAGGGGGCCTGGTTGCTGAGGTTCAGGAAGGACAGCAGGCGGTGCTGGTCGACCTGGGGCTGCAGCTCCTCTGGGATGCAGTGTGAGCACTTGTAATGCTCCTTGATCCACCTCCCTCCCGCGCTGTTCTCCACGGCGATGGCGGCCACCCCTGCCACGAGCTCGGCGTCAGCTTTACACAGTGTAGTATGATCACAATCGCTCACATATATACTCCCTAAAGCACTTCGCTTATAAGAGGGGAGTCCACTCCATCCACTACTGAAGTGGAGCCCCACCTGGGTGACGTGCAGGAGCCATCACTGCCCTGCTGATCAGGAGGAGGAGTGAGAAACTCAACGGCTGAGTTGAAGAGGAAATCCTGTGCAAACTCAGCTCAGAATTTAAGCAGTACACCAGGGTGCTCACCCCTACTCCCACAAATGCCACCCTGGGGTATTCTGACCAGGCAGTCAGGACCTCGGCTAAATATTTCATCTCAAGTCTGTGTCCACAGTCAACACACAGGGACACTGGAATGGAAGGATCAAGGGGAAACAGCACCACCTACTGGTCCTCCAAAACCACCTTCAGCAGCAGTTTGGTTTTTCTTGGAGACCTTTGCCTTGGGGTGAAACAAAATCAACATGCTACTGATCAGGCCCAGCCTTGCTGAGCTTCTGAGATGTGATGTAATGTAACTATAAACAGTGGCATGAAGATTAAGGCAGAGAGCACTTGGCTTTTTTTTTTTTGTTAGCCAGCACATCCTCGCTGCACAGGCAGACTCTAGGGTGCTGTGTTTTCTCCCACCCATAGAAGGCATGTGGTGAGACTGTGATGCTCACCCACTACGGTGGCTCCCTGCTGTTCCACCAGGCGAATGGCAGCCCTCATGGTTCCCCCAGTCTCGATCCACTGGTCCACAATCAGCACCCGTACCCCTGTGTGCACACAAACAGGCATGGGGTTCTGTTAATGGCATGCATTCCAATTCGATAAGCTGCAATCGTGTTGGTACATGAACATTTTACCCACCGCTGAGGCAGAAAACGCACGCCTGTCTGTGCAAGGCTTTAATGACACGCCTACGTACAGCTGGCATGTGTTCCCAGCAGGGGGGAAAAGTTGAATTTTTATTTTACAAATCATTCACGGTTCTTAGAGAACCAGAAAATGGCTTTCCACCGATCAGAAGTATGCTCTTCCCTCGACTGCATGGGAATTTCGACATCCTGTGCAGATCCAGTTCCCCTGAAGGAGTGCTGGTAGTGGGAATGAGATCTCTGTGGGCGGTGTGTGGCAGTTGTACTCTGTCCGAACAGCTTTACGGAATATGCATGAGTTCCAGAAGGCTTTGCAATATTAGCTGGCCAGTCCCATCCCCTTTCCCCTATCACAGTGTGTGGCACTGAATGGCTCCAGGCTCCAGCTGGACATTGTGCTGGCTGATGGGCGTCCCACGGGACAGCGATGCACTGCGGACACTGGGGGAGTCCAGCCGTTGGATTTTGACCAGGTTTGCAGATCAGCACTGGGGCGCACGGCTTTCCTGCGATGTGTTCCTGGGTCTGCCGGGTGCTGGCTACGGCGGAGACGGCTTACCTGGTTTTAAGACGTCAAGCCGGACCTCCATGAGCTTCTCCTGGCCGGAGTAGTCTCTGTAGACCTGGCTCTGCGTCTCCACGCACAGGTGCCCTGCTTTGCGGATGGTGAGCAATCCCTTGCCCAGAGAGGTGGCCACAGCAGAGCCTGCCAGCAGAAGCCACACGAACATCCTCCCTGAGAGCTCTGCCGTTATCCTCTCTCATATCAGATTCAGACTGTTTTAATGGCATGGCTCTTAACACTATCCGTCCGCCTTCAAACTGCTTTTTCCAAATCAGAGTCACAGGGGAGCCAAAGCCTTTCCCGGCAAGCAACAGGTGTGAGGCAGGGTACACCCTGGATGGGACGCTAGACACAGACACCCACACACTCACACCAGGGCCAGATTTCCCCCAGACTTCAATTTACCTTGCTAGTATGTCTTGGGACTGTAAGAGGAAACAGGAGCAACCCAGAGGAAACCCGCACGAACACAGAGAGAACATACAGACTCCACACAGATAGAGCACCTTTCATTCTGAAGCCCCCTGGATGTGGCTTAGGGCAATTCACCAGTGGAGGTGATTCTCCTGGGGATCCTACCAGCCTAGTTTAGCTGAGGGAGAGGGGTGAATTCACAACAGCCTGCAGTGATGCTGAGGGTAAAGGTTTTGCAGTAGGACTGGGTTTCAGTCTGGAACTGGGTGTGGTTAGTATGCATGTAGATTGTGCATGGTTTGTCAGCGAAGCAAGCCACTCGGGCAGGAACCACGTGCAGCAGCAATATGCTGTACTGTAAAGCCCCCCAGGAGCGTGTGAAGAAAATGGATGGACTGATGAGCGAATTAGCCCAGTACGCCATGGAAAAGCCCAAGAAGCTTAAAATGTGAGAGTGGAAGTGTCAGTCGACAGCTGGAGTGGTGGTCGGGTTAGACAGAAGAAAAGACAGGCAAAGGCATTTTATTCTGTAGGGAGAGAATTAGCACTTCAAGCAGTAATAAAACAACAGCAAGAAGATAAAAATGTATTCATGCTGAGAGCCAAGGAGGCTGAAAAAGTGCACAGTGGTTAACAAGTGCCTGGATTGGTGCTTAGACCAACATTAATAAGGCTACAATACTGAAGACAAAAAGGTATTTAAGCAGTGAAGTGAAGTAAATTGGAATTTATTGAGTATTATTTAAATGATATGAAATGGTGAAGGAGAATTTCAAAGAAACACTGCCGTATAAGGAACTAAAGTGACTAAACTCTCTGGAAAGCAGAATGCAGTTTTGAAACTTCAAATGACAGCACGATCTGAAAGCATGAATCGGAGACAAAGCAGCCGTAAGGTTTTCAAGAAGCTCTAAGGGAGGTGGAGTTATGTCTAACGAAGGAAAATCGTGAATCAGGGACTCTCAGGTATCAGGTAGCTGAAAAGTTTTCAGGAAGCACTAAAGAAGGTGGAGTTATGTCTAAGGAAGGGAAATCTGAGAATGAGAAACTGCAGGAGGAGTGGAAATTGGAATGGGACTGCCTCACACAGACGCACGCTGACATCTGGGAAGGGAGCAGGAGTGGGGATCTGGGAGGCACTGCAGGTGGTAAAAAAGAACAGAGGCAAAGGCAGTTAGCTGGCAGCTCAGCTGATGGAGGAAGGGGCTTTGTGACTGCAAACTCCGGCTCCTATATAAAGAATTCCCCATCGTCTGGGAGCTTCAGGTTCTTCCCATGCTATTGAGTCCTGAGCAGCTGATGAGCTGTGGTCAAAACATGGAAGCCCAGGCTTGCTGAGAGTTAACCGCTGGTGAAATGTTTGGATGCACAGCTGCAGGATTTTGCCAAACAGCAAGAGCACTGGCTGGCCCTCAGCAGCACCACACAGAGAATCCATTATGCTAAAAGAGAGGCTGTTTCCACCCACCACAGCTGTGACTCTGGCCTCAGCACAAACCTAACCTCTGAGATCGGGCCAGTTAAAAATGAGAAACTCAAGAGGAAGGTTAATTTTCCCAGTAACGTGCATGATAGAAATAATGGGATAACACAGTCGTCCTTGCTCCTCCTTTTTGTGACTCCAGCCAGAAAACTTGCTGAATGCCAGAGCTTCTCCAAACTGAAATACAGTGTCTTCCTCTGATGATTATATTTCCTGCTTAGTCAGCTCCCAATGAGATATAATTAGCATGCTTTTTATTTGGAGTTTGGATCCAGTCACTCAAAACATTACTGGTGCCACTCATAGGGTATTCTGCCTTTCGGTCTTTTTCCTACCTAGAATAAATCCCATTGCATCAATGCCAACCACCAGGTCAATGGGCTCATTCTGGAATGGCTGGAGCAGGTCTTTCACGCAGTCAGCCAGCGCCTAGCAGAGAGAAGAATTAAGTCAGTACACAAAGGATTTGGAGAGGCTAACAAGGGTAAAGAAATAAATCCAACATTTCATCTACAGAGTCTGATAAAGGAACACACACATCCCTGCAGAGGCTGCTGACATTGTCAGGCCTCTATGTACACTTAACACGGTGCAATAAGGGTTGCAGAACATATATGAACGTGCATCTGTTCATGTATTTTATATATATATGTCTATAGTTCAGTCAATATTGGTTTAAAACTGCCACAGCATTTACAATTAGGCTGTTTCCTCTAAAACCAAAGGCCCTTTATTTGGCACCTGAAGCTGCGTTCCCTGCCCGCTCGCTGCCCTCTGCCCTGTCCAGCTGGCACAGGAGGCAGCGCTGAGCAGGCTCAGCCGAGCTGTCTCCGTACCTGGTGGCTGCAGTAGAGTCTGGAAGGGTCCAGCCAGGCATATTTTGGCCCCTTTGTGTTTGGAGCCATGAGGGACAGGTACCAGGCTCGGCTCCTCTCCTGCGGGACGGCCCACACGTCCATTTTAAAGGAAGCGCTGATCCACACGGACCCTCTCTCTCTCTTGCGCGCTCGCTCGCTCATACAAATGCTTGGAGAGTGTAAGGCTGTGTGCAAGGCAGGTCCTCGGTGATCATGTTCTTAAAGGGGCATGCACATGTGACCGTGTGACTTGCCAAAAATGTAGCCCTGTGCTCTGGGCTTCTGGGTAGCAACACTACACTTAACGCTTTTCAGCACTGCTTTTAGGTTCAGATGCTGTCTTAAGTTACCAGATGGATGCTTAGCCAAACTTTTTTATCTGCTGTGTATAAGGGCCACCCTGCATATCCAGTGTGGGGCAATAGCCATGTTCCATGTAACTGAATAGCAGTCAACCAATAGTCTACTAAATGCTGTACTGTTTAAATCAAAATCAAAGCTCACTTTGCAGAAAATAAAATAAGGCTTCAATCTAGGCACTAGGCAGGCTGGGCTGTACAATATACACAAGCTGATGAAACAAACAGGCAAAGAGAGAAAGAGACTCACCAGCAGTGCCCTGGGAGAGCAGTCGGTTGTGTTCAGGGTAACGAAGGGTTGGAGAAGACAGCCTTCGGCCCAGTGATGACTGCTCGTTCACCGAGAGAAAGAGAGAGAGGGGGAGGTCTCCAGCTCCAGATCAGATTGCGATCCTCCGCCTCATACCCCCCCCCTGCGCCTTCCAGACTCCATTGGACCCAGACCCAGACTGCGCCGTCCTCTTTAACCACTCAGGTTTATTTCCAGTTGCTTTCACCTAGAACGAGAGGAGCAAGAGAGAGAAACTTTTTTAGAAAAAAAAAGCAGTTCAGTGTATAATTACTAATGACTATACTGTAATAAAGGACTAAGAACTCTAGTGACTAAAGTAAGGCTAGTGCAGTGAATCTGGAAGTGGGGACTAAGTGGTCATCCATAAACACCTGGTTCTGGGTGCAAAACAGTTCCTTTGGGATCTTTCCATTGTGGGAGACAAACATACAATTTAGAGGCACTAATTAACCAGGACAACATGTCTCCGTACTGCAGGGGGGAAACTGAAAGACCCAGAGACAACCCTCTGCAAATCTGGTGAGGACAGGCTGAGAGAACTCCACACAGACTGATCCAGATACAAACCCTTTGAGTCAACAAAGTTCAAACGAAATACCGTTATGAACATTTAGAAAATTGTTACTCGCAGTACCAGAAAAAAAAAGTTTTCAGCAGTCTTCTCTGTCGTCCAACAGCGCAGTCTTTAAGTAGTCACAAGCCTTTTTTTTATCGTAACAGCAAAAATACATTAAATACAAGCTAACAAAAGTACATATAACATCGATAACATCGTCAGGGGTACATACTGTGATCTAGTTACACTTTATGTAAGATAAAATCCGCGCAGCTTTTAAATACGCCTTTACATCTATTTTAAACTGTTCAAAACATAGGACTCTTTCCAGACCATTTCACTTCATGTATTTAATAACGTGCAAGTACAATAATGAAGTCAATTACAAAATATATTGTCATATTATTTTCAATGGGATTCAAATGGAATGTAACGTCTATTTTTTTTTTAATTTACTGTAATATATTTTGGCGCTGCTTTTTAAGGAACGCAGCCATATAGCAGAAAGAAAATTTGAGATCATGATTGAAGACGTTCGAGTCCCGAGACATTCTCAACTGCTCCAGGTTTCCGCGGGGTTTTTTTTTAAACAGAATGAAAAGGCTGAAACGGTGCTCCCTGGGATGTCCCTGCATGTGTGTGCCGATCTCTGTACAGCCAGAACAAAGTCAGATTCCACTTCTCCCAGACGTTTACGACTTCCCTCGTTGGGAAAAGTTCTGCAGCTAACGGCAGCCAAGACGGAGCAGAAACAGAGACGGGCTCGTTAAAGGAGAGGAGCGCGCTTCTTGGGGGGGCTTCTTGGGGGGGCTATCATATTTGCCCACGTGTCATACGGCTCAATGAAGTGTATCACGCTGCCGGGCTTGTTTATAAACAGTCTGGAGGAAAACGAAAGAGATCTTCTATTCAGCCGGACCCAGCAAAGGCTTTCCGATCTACCGTACTTGACTGGCGTCTTGAAATTCAGTTCAATTCGATGTCTTTTTTTTATATAGCGCCTTTCACGACAAGGTCGCCCCAAGGTGCTTAACAAAGGAAGTGACCCTACATGTAGTGAATACAGAACAGAAAAGACCAGAAGACAACGGAGGAGAGGAACCAAAAACTCCTCAGTAAGGAGAAAAAAAACCTCTAGTTGTCCAAGGTCAACTGGCTGCCCAACCCCTTTGGGTATGCTAACATTATACAATTAAAAAAAAAGGAATACAATGAATAAGGGTATTAATCCATCCATCGTGTCTTCTGTATGTCAGTACTCCATCCAGATCTCTGTAGACTAGCAAAATCCTCCTAAACGAAAGCTATATCCACGATGTCCCTCTTGGATCCATGGCAGTGATCCAGCATCCAACTCAGATGGGGCCCAGCCCGGGCGCCA